GATATTTTTTATATCCTAAAAACCGTTCGTCTTAATTATTTTTATTAAAATCTTTAGCCTCGCGTCCTTAATATAAATTAGAGTAGTAATTATTAACTTATTATATTTAAAAAATAGTTTAGTATTTTATATAAATAGAAGATTTAATAATAACGGATTAAAAATCTCTCGCTCGTTTTTAATAAAAAAATAAGTAATTACTTTAAACTTACTAATTTATATATTTATAAAGTAAAAACTATTAAAAGTTATTTAACTAATTAGATTATATTTAAACGTTTATATTTAAAGCTTTATTACTATATAAAAAATACTAGTTTTCTTAATATATTATTTTAAAAGAATATTAACTTATACCCTAGTATTTAAAATCGTAACGATTATTAAACTTTTATTATTCTAATTTATATTAAATATTTAGATTTTTAATTATAAATAGGCGTTCGAGATTATAAAAATTAGAATTTTAAAAATCAGGTTAGTACCTTTAATTTTATTAATTTTAACTATATAGCTCGGCTTTAAAAAGAGGTTCTCGTTATACTCGTTAAAGAAATCTTTAATATTTTTTTATTATTATCCGTTTTTTACTAAGTTAGCTAAAGACTTTAGAGCTTTTAATAAGATTTTATTAATATTAAAATACTTTTAATTATATATTAAAATTATTATTATTATAGTATATTTTAATATATTTTTTATAAAAAGTTTATAAGAAGTAAGATCGGAGCTTTAAGCCTCTTTTTTATTAATTTTTTAGCCTCTATTTTAAAATTAAAGTTACGGGGCTAATTTATAATTATTATTTTTTAAGTTTTATAAAAAAAAAGTTTTTAAGTTCTCTAAGTATTAATATTAGGGGTACTAATTAGAACTTTAATAAACTAAGGCCTAAAAATAGATTTAAAAATCTCGTTCTTTATTATTTTAAAAACTTTATTATTATCATTAATTTTTATAATTTCTCTTTTATAATTAAAAAAAAATACCGTTTTTTTTTTAAATTATAAAAGCTAGCTTAGGCTATTAATCCTGTATATTTTTTTAAAATAAAGTTCGGCTACCGAAGTACGGTTTTTAAGAGGTCTTTTTTTATAAATAGTATAAACGTCCGCTTAGTTATAATAACTTAAATTAAGTCGTATTATATAAATATATCTAATTATACTCGTAAAATTAGCTAAAAGAAGTATAAATATAGTTTATTAAAGTAATTTAATTTAGTAATTTAAAATCTATTTAACTAAGAGCTTAGTATTTTCTTTAGTTAATATATTTATTATATAAAAAAAAAAAGTAATGTAATTAGTAATTATATACCTTTTTTCATTTTTAATTATAATAAAAAGGATATTATTTATAAGCTTATAACCGTTACGCTTTTCGTAATACTAAGCTTTCTAAACTAAAATAATAAAATAAGCGTCCTTATTAAAAGTATACTAATTATAATTCTTAATAATTTAGTAATATTAACTTTAATAATATTAATAATAATCTCTAAATTTTATAATTAGGGGCTAATTAAAATACGTAGTACTTATATTAAATATATAAGTAGGGCCTTAAAAATAAATACTATTTTAATAGATTTTTAGTTTACTTATTCTATTAACTAGGTTAGAATTAGCGGTATTATTAATAACTACTTAAATAACCTAGACCTTTATTATTAACTAGTAATATTATTAATAGTTTAAATACTAGTACTAAGTATTTTTATATACTTAAGAAGTAGGGGGCCGTAATAAAAGCTCGGGTTAATTCTAATTATTTATAAAAAATAAGCTATACTCTTTTTTATATATAATCGTATTAAAAAGTCCTATTTTAAACCTCGCGTACTTTATTAATTTAATAAAACTATTTAAAATAACCCCGACTTTTTTTATTACTTTTTTTATAATATTAGTATAGAACTACTTATATACGGCCTTAATTAGGCTCTTATTAATTATAATATAAAGGTTTTATTATTTAATAAAAGTAATTATATTATTAATTTTAGTAAATAGTACCTAAGTAAAGTTTAAATTAGAAAACGAGATAGGTAGTTTTTTAATAACTTTTTTAATTTACTCTTCCTTATTTAAAAAGTAGTTAGTATCCTATTTTTTATACTTTTTTAAAAAGAAATCCTTAGCTTAGGCTTAGGATAAGCCTCTGATCGCATCCTTAATTAGAATTTAATAATTTTTTTTTATAATATACGTAATAAGTTTACTCTTAAATCGGTCTAGGACCTTACTAATCTCGTACTAATCCTCGAACTTTTTTAAAAAAATTTATAATATTATTATTTTTAAAAACCGTAGTCTCTTTTTAACTAGGGAATAGTATTTTATAAAAACCTATATTTTTTATTAAATTAAACTAAAGAATCGTAAGGTTTTTAATCTAAAGCGCGGCTATTTAAATCTAAGTAATAATAGTATTTAAGAGGGTATTAATTAAAATATTTATTCTAATTTAAATCGTAATTAGCTTTTTTTAATTAAACTAGTAAATAGATTTATTAAAAGGAGTAACCTTTTTATTGTTAAATAATTTTATAGCTTATAGGTTTTAATAAATTATAAAAACTAGTTTAGTAAATAAGCTATTTAAAATAAAAGGGTTAGGTTTATATAATTAAATATCCTAAAGGGCGCTAATAATAGTAAAAATAACGTATTAATTATTTATATTTATAATCCGAGGTTATTAAAAATATAGTTCGTTGATTTTATTTATAATCTTAATAATTTTATATTAGTTTATTTATTTTAAATAAAATTTAAAAAGAGAAGAGAGGAGCCGTTTTAATAACTAAAGCGTAGCTATTATTCTAATTAATATAATTTAAACCGTTCTTTTTAATCTTTATTAAGTATATAACTAAAGTTTTAATTAAACGTCGTATTAAATTTATAATAATATTAATCGAAATTACTAATAAGTTTAGTTAAAAACTAGTTTTATAAGCGCCCTTAGTCCGATATATCCGTACTTCTAAATAAGTCTATTATTAAGTTTTTAGGCTATATTAATTAATAAGAAATAGTTTAGTTAAATAACTAGTTATACTTATTAAAGTATTTTATTAGTTCTAACTCTAACTTATTATTTATCTTATTATATTATTATAGCGTTTATATTTAAGTTTAATCTAGTCCTAAATATCCGCATTTTCCTCTACTTTCTATCTCGTTCGCTTCTTAAAGTCTATTATATTCCCTATTTTATTAAATAAAAAGTCTTTTTTTATACGTTTTCGCTTTTACGTTTTAATTATTTAATTACTTTTTTTAAATTAAAGTTTTACTATTTATATTCGTCTTAATTATTATACCGTTCTTTTTAATTAATTATTTAAAGTATTTCTAATTAAATTAGGTTTTTTTTTATTTATTTTCTTATTTAATAAGGGAGGGATTTTTAAAAAAGAAAACTATTAAAAATATATAGGGTATAAAAGACTCTCGTAATACGGTACTTTAAAAGAATTATTAATATTTATAAAAATAATATAAAATACCTTTTTTAATTAGGTTAATACGGCTTTAATTAGTAAAGTTATAACTAAGGGAAGAGGATAATATTAACTAAATTAGAAAAATAGACTTTTTAATTATTTTATATTATTACGTTTGAAAATAAATTATTAAAAAGGCTCTAGTTTAATTTTAAAAAGGTATATATATAATTAAAGTAAAAATCCGTACTATCTAATTTCTTATTTTTAATCGGGGCCTTTTTTTTTATATTTTATTCTAATTAGCCCTCTTATAAATACCTATACTTAATTAGCTTTAAAAAAGAACTATTAGGACTAATCGCCCTACCCTATTTTAGTATAATATAAACTTTATATTAAAATTATTATTTTTAAATAGTTATATATTTTATAATATACTAATTAAGAGCTTAGTAATAAAGTTATATTATTTTTTAAAATTATTAATTTTATAAAATTAATTAATATTAAGGCGGCTATTTTTTAAAAAAAGAGATAATAATAATTAACTAAATAATAATAAGAGGCTATACTTAATTAATAATCGTTTTTATATAGTAGTTTTTTTTCTAGCTTTATAAGTATAAAAGATTAACCTTAACGGGATTACGATTTTAAAAGAAATTATATAATACGGTATATTTTTTAATTATATAATACGTATAATATGCCCTAAGTACGTACTAGTATAAAATACTTAGAAAAGTCTACCCCTCTAATTAACTTATTTAAGTAACTAATTAGAGTATTTTTTTTTCTAATTAGGGTCTTCTAAGTCGATCGAGGGAGTATTTTATATTATTTTAATAAGTTAAGTATTTTGCCCTCGAAGTATTATATTACTAAAGTCCTCTTTACTTTATGTATTGTTAATATAGTACAAAGGTTTAGCATTTTAATATAAGTATAGCTAGCGCTATATACTTAGCGATTTCCTCGTTTTTAGCTATAGCTAAAGGGAGGGGGCTATTTAAAATAGTATTAAGGAATTATATATAGCTTAGTATACTATACTAACATAACATACTAAGAATAATAAAAAAGAGGAGAGGTTACTTATTTTATTAGAGCTCTATCCAAAATGCTAAATCTCCTCTGCGATAGTTAAGTTAATAAATTATATATTGTCGAATAAGCCATTGCGGTATAAGTATTTCATATCTCATTATGTGGCAAGTATGCGCTGGCTGATAATGGCCCTGAAACTTTAAACTACTTAATAGGCATGTATCTGTCACGGGCTAGAGCCCGGATTGAGACCTCCGGCTTTGCCGGAGTAGTTACCAAGATCCGGCTCCGTTGGACCCACTACTCTGCCGCGGCACCCCTCCTAACCCGATCTACTTCACCGCTGTTAGGCGCCCACTCTTGTAAAGTCCTTTCTTCCTTCTTCAGCTTAGAATAGTCAATTGACGGCACCTCTACGTTGAACAAGCCTAGGGGCTAGCCCCTTACAGCATCTATACTGCGAGCCATATCTGCAAACTTATCCCTGCATGAAACATTAGCATCGTTCTATCAATTCGACGGTGCGCCTATCCGGGGTCAACAAACCTATGACTGCCCAAAATATCGGATGCGAAATGAATTCGCCTCGTGGAGCAGTTTTTGACAACTGTGACTCCCCAGCTTCAACGAGTTGTTCAACCTCACATAGCTCTCCGACCAATGAATCCTCAATTCTTGGAAAACTCTCGTCATGTTGCAGATCCTTTGCTCCTAAACAATTGTCCGCTGCATCCTGCTGTGGTTCCAGATCATCTTGAAAAAGCGACATGGCATCTTCGGCCTCTATATGCTCAGCCCCGAGTTGATCATCCAAGAGCTGCAGCAAAGTTTCTTTGTTTTTGAAACTGGACAGTTGGATGATCTGTCTCGGTTGCCAAGTTCCAAGCATTGTTGTCTCGTACCATATTCGGGGTGGCTCATCTTTACTACCCCTTAGTTCAGGGAGAAGAAGGCGACGCTTGCCGATTCCAGGACGCTCCAGGGACACTGTATATTTTCCATCATCCTCAATGTTTGCTTCTATCGTGAAACATGGATTCCCTCTGTGTCGAAGTAGACGCTCAAGAATGCCTTGAATCGAAGTAATGAGGTCGCCGCCGGCAAGGATAGACGCAGCCAGGCATGTGACTTCCAGGAGAGTCGGACGCCAGTCAGCGAGGATTTCCGGTTCTTCTAGTGGCCAGAACCAGGTATGCATTTCGAAATCTGGAGACAAATGGCCTTGGTCGAGTAAGCTACCGATCACAGCCACGCCAAACTCGGAGTCTGGTGAATCATAGTAGTGTCTCTCAACGTCAACTAAATTCATTATGTGGGTGAAAATGCAGCTCGCAAGTAATGAAACGTGTCCGGGGCTTTGTGCAATACCTTGCGTCGTCTGCAGTTTGGAAATTTCATACGTGTCGTAGCCTCCCTGAAGGAGCATGTGTCGGAGGCTAGGAAGCTCAAGTACTAACCCGTCATTATCAATCTTGAGCTTCTTGTGTCTCCGTCCCGTAGAGAAGTATGTGCCACCACACTCACAACTCATATATCCCGCTTGGATCTGGGACTCAATTTCCACTCTTTCGCAAGTTGTATTGAGGCGCTCAGATATTGGATCATGATTCTCAATCATAGACGCAACGCCCTCAAAAAAGTCGAAGTTTGAAGTGTCCGAGAAGCATTCTACTCTCATGAACAGAAGGTTACTGATCTGGGGACAGTACCAATGTAACGTATCCTCAATATAGTCAGCTTGGTATCGCCAGGAAAAGACAGTAATATAAGATAGGGCGTCCAAGGTGTCAAGTTCGTCCAGGTTATGACAATTGTTTCCAGTTTCCTTCTCTTGAGCAACGAATTCTGCAACGGAGCGATGGGCTACCTCAAGATAGTACCAATTCGTCAGGTGCTCGTCCTCCTCGTTGCCTTCGAACGTAACTTCGACTAGGCCTCTGAGACAGTTGTTCAACCTTTTTTTCGAAACTTCCACGTCTTCAAAGTTGTTCCTAGGCCTTGATACCCAAGACTCAAATGATAGAGCCGGTTGATCTTTCTTCTTTACCTCGAGGAAATTCCAGCTTAAAAGGGTAACCCAAATAGACCATTTCTGAGCACTGACAATAATATCTAGCGTCTGGTACGCTTTCTGACTCTCGCCATGGCTGATAGAGGTCATGAAATGACGGAAGAGACGGTCTATATCTTCAGGGAGTTTATCGACCTCATGGTGCAAGTCTTCTGGTCGGGATCCATTCTCCATTTGGTTACACAGGTCGTTGACAACCAATTTAACCCAGAGGAATATCCCCTGAGCCCTCCAAACGATAGAGTCGACAAGATGCTTGACAACAGAATCGACATCGGATTCAGAGGTGCCGTAATCTCGTATGCCCCTGGTTAATTCATCTTCCACGTATCTTTCCATGTCTTTTTTCGTCAAGTCGTGCAACCGGATCCTTTGCTCTTGCTGGAAATGATTGAGAAAGACATTGTATTCTCGACTCGAGACACAGAATTTGATGTTTGCGGAGCTGCGTGTTGACCATTCCTTCAATGTCCTCGCTAAATGACGGTGCTGGACGTCCGTGGACTCCTCTAGTTCATCCAGGCCGTCGATGAAGAAGCAAAAGCGGAAAGTTCCATCCACCTTACTATGCTCAACTAGGAATTCGAGTGCTTTTCGAGCTTCTGTATCATGAATCACAAGCTCTTTGCTTACTTGCCAAGGGGTGGACCATGCGGTCTTCCAGTGAGATGGGAAGAGTAGGCGTGTCAACTCGGGTCGACCATTAAGTACACCATACAGTAAGGCTCGGCACATGCCTTCGAACGATTTCTGAAGGTAAGACATGCCAGGCTTCCAGAAGAAGTGCGTAGCGAGAACAAGCTTCCGTGAGTCACCTTTATGTGTGTTAGAGAGCAAAGATTTGGCGATAGAAGGCAAAACTTACCAGCCCATTGCTGTAACCTATCTTGGACATGCGGATTGCCAATGATGAGCTTCATCAGGGTTGACTTCCCTGCACCAAGCTTGGCAGAAAAGTGAAACACTCCACTTCCGGAAGAAAGCCAGTCTAAAAATCTTCTCCTGGTCTCTCGCCTCTCCTTTTCGTGTTGTTTCTCTCTAGCGAGTTCTTTTTCATGGCACTTCATTTCAGCTTCGGATTCCTCTTGACGTTTTCTCTCTTCGTAGATGTCTTCTTCACGTTCTTCCTCTTCGGATAACTCCTTGGATCGTTTCTCTCCGTAGAACTCTTCTCTACTCTCTCTGCCTTCAGAAGGTTCATCCTTAGGTTCTACCTCTTCGCAAAAGTCTTTTCCACGTTGTTTATCTTCGGTGAATTCTGCCTCCTGCTCGGCCTTCTCGAAATCTTCTCCCTTACTCTCTTCCGCTTCATAGAAGTCCTCTTCATTTTCTTCTCTAGAGAATAACCATTTGAAGGTCTTGGCATGTGCCTCGGAGACTTGGTTGAACCTATGGTTCATTTGGTCAAATTTCAAGGCATTGAGCACCCGCTCCTGGGCCACGGAATCAAGCTTTTCCTCCGGTATATCGAGTAGCTTTTGTAGGCCGCCCTTAGTTGCTTCATCAAGTCCAGAAGCTTGGATGCTACTTCTAAGCTGTTCAATGGACGCCTGAAGCTCCCCAAGGCGGGTGTTACTGCTCGTCGACAACTCTATAACGTCCTTTAGCTTGTCTTGGGTGTCCCGACTATATTTCCATTAGTAAATAGACACCTGGTAGAGGTCTATTGCTACTCACCTCGTGACGTAATTGAGCTTGAAGTGCAATTGTCCGCGACATGCTTCAAGTCTCACTCTAAGTTCTTCTTTCTCGCCGGAAAACCTCTCATTCTTGAGGGCCGAGACGAAGGAATGCCATTTAGAACCTTTGACCTTCGGCTTGATTCGGTAGAGCAGATGTTTTAAGTCCTCGGCCAGTCTCTTGCATTCAGCAGCCAATTCACACAAGTCTTTGTCGCTTTCTGTCCTATGTTTCGGGTCTGGGCCAGACAGCTTCGTGGAGAGTTTCTGCAAGTCATCGACGATGGTTTCGATAGTGGCGTTGTCCCGTTTGACACCTGATGTTGCATCATATATCTGCTTCGTACCGTTGACGACTTTCGTACCGAACTCAATGAAAGTCAATACCGAGGTTGCCAAACCAATGGCTGATACGGGATCCATCCGGCTGGCTTGTCGTGGTGTTTTGACGACTGTTGAGTCAGGAGAGGAGAAGAAGACGGTATGATGTCTCTAGTCCCAACATAAAAGCAACTGCGGGACAATCAGGCCGCAAGGCAAGACGGAGGTCTTGCCTCATCGGGCGGGACCAGTATATGCGGTACGACCGAAAAGACCCCTCAGGCGAGCTACGCTCCACCAATGAAGCTGTTGTGGCAGGCTTAGCTCTGCGCCGAGAAGCAGGCTGTGATGGATGCCAGCGACCAGCACTCAAGCCAAAGGGCGCTTATTCCCAAAGGTACACATTACAGCCGGCACGCCTTCCAAGTTTGGAAATTGATTCCTCAGCATAAGAACGAGTCAAACAGTCTTAGACTGCGAGAAGGCATGGGATTTACTTCAGCATATGCGCTCTCTTGAGCATTCCAGCTGCTGAATCATGAGATCGCCGACATTTTGGATGGTAATTGATGGAAAGCATGAAGGTAGACAGATCATAACAATTTCAAAGTATCTGTCGGTATTGAGTAGTTTGTCACATAATATAACAGCATCCTGTGGCATGCTTTCAGGGCCCAATCAGGCTTCTTCATCCGAACCTAGCTCTCCACAACAACTCAGCCCACACCACCACACTCAAACTTTACGTCCCTACTCTACTGTACACCTCCCCAGGGATCCCATACGTTAGCGCAGTACTTTTCTATATACTTTACTAAAACCAGTAATAGCCCCTGCAAAGTCACTTTACTAATAATTATATATAAAATCATAATAAGAAATAAAAATTATACTTCTAAATTCTTAGTATAGTATTTTTTAAAATATTATATACGTACGTAGTCGAGGTAAAAGTTAATAGTAAAGTAGTATGTAAAAAAGTAATAGAAATAGGTACTATAGAAACTCAAGTACTCCGGACTTACGTTAGCCCGTACTAACTCTACTAGCTACCCGTACTAAACTCTTCTAGGGGGTTAATTATATTTAATTATATAATTAATTATACTATATATAAAAAGTAATTAAGTAATTATTTTTTATTTTTTATTTCTATTTAACTACTTACTTCGACTTATTTCTATTTATTTTTAGTCATTATTTAGGCTAATAGCTTAGTAATTAACTTAGTTACTTATTACGGCTTATTATTACTTATATTTGTATTAATTATATTACTAATTTAATTATTAATTTAATTATTAATTATATTTTTAATTATATTTTTATTATAGGCCTCGTTAAATACTTATAATATTTTTATAACGGATCTTTATTAAAAGGACTATTTGTTTTTATATTCTACTTTTACTAACTACTCGGGCGGTTTTTAGTATTAATAATACGGTATTAATATATAATATTAGTAAATACTCTTACTATTTTAATAAACTATTTTTTAAATTCTTTATCTTTCCTCCTTTTTAACTTTCTTTTTTATAAAGTTTATAACCTAACTACGGATTAATTAATAGTAATATTAAGCGCCCGACGCTACTGCTTTATAAGCCGCCTACTTAGCTAAGTTTACCGCTCTCTAAGTAATAATAACTTATAATAATAGTATTAAAAATACCCTCGTTACTATTATTAAGAATAGTATTAACCTTACGATATTTATCTTAATACTTTTAACTTCGACTTATATATATATATATATTTATTATCTTATTTCTTTTATTAAAATTAAAAAAATACTACTTCTCTTATTATTTTTTATTATTATTATACTATTATTATTATTATTACTATTAAACTATCTATTTTAAAAATATTTAGAATACTAAGACGCTAACTCGTCGACCTATAAGGATACTTTAAGGGCTAAAAGTTTAATCCTATAAGTATTATATTAAAAAACCCCGGACTATAATACGATCGTTTTAAAAAATACGAATTAAATATTATCAACTTAAAAATTAAAAAGAAGTATATTAATATAGCTATTACTATACTTAGTACTTAGTTTATATAATATAATAGCCCCCCGATAGAGTAATCCGCCGGGGCCGTACTATATATTACGTATTAGGGAAAACTAAGTATATTACGCTCTATACCTAACTACTAATTAAAGCTCCTAACCTTCTCCCATAGTTCTCTAAGTTCTAGCTATCTAGAGGGTAAGCTATACCTATTTTAACATATATAAGACTTCTTAATACTAGCTTATATAAGTAATTAAATCTTATATTATATACTCCTTTTTATTAAGGGTTAAGGGGCCCTTTATATATTCCCTTATATTTATAATATAGCCCGTATTAAAAGGATTTTTAACTTTATAAAATATAATTTTTAAACTAATATTAATATATTAGATTTTAATATCCGTACCGGCCCGGCTATTTATAATATTTATATTATTACTTAACTAAATTCCGTATTATTAAAAAGTACTTCGCTAATCCTTAAGCGTACTTACGTTAGTTACGATAGTTATAGCGTTAAGCTAGCTAAAGAGGGCGCCTAGCCTAAGAGGAGTAGACTTATTAATAGGCATTTTTAGAGAGTTCTAGCTTATTAATTACTAACTATATACTAGGAGAGTAGGTTCTTGTCGAGGTAGTATTTTAACTAGCTAACCTCTTAACTAATTATCTAACTAGCTATCTAAGTAGTAGTTTATATATTAATAAGTTTATTTAGTAAATTTATTTAGTAAATTTATTTAGTTTAAATAGAGAGTAGCTTTGGGTAATATTAAAAGCGATAAAGATAAAAAGAATTTTTATAAGCTCTAGTATAGTAAAAGAGCAGTAAATATTAGCTTATTTAGCCCTTTTTTTAAAAACCTCTATATTATTATTAAAGTTTAGAACCTTTATAGTTAAGGGCTGCCTCTAACTATTATAGCTAATTATTACGGCTAATTATTATAGCCAACCTCTACTATTAACCTTTTTAGCTAGTGCCGCCGTAGGGTAGCTTACTTATCTTAAATTATATAGCAGTTTTTGTATTAAAATTATTATATTACGTTAAGCGCGTACTTAGGGTATATTATATATATTATATAATTAAAAAGTATATTATATTATATAATTTCTTTTAAAAGCGTAATCCCGTTAAGGTCGATCTTTTATACTTATAAAACTAAAAAAAAACTACTATATATAATATAATAGCTTTAAACCCCCTAATAAAGTCATCCGCCGGGGCCGTACTATATATTACGTATTAAAAAAAACTAAGTATATTACGTTCTATACTTAATTACTAATTAAAACTCTTAACTTTTCCTTAGTTATTTAAAGGGCGAGCTATACCTATTTTAATATATATAAAATCTCTTAATACTAGCTTATATAAGTAACTAGATCTTATATTATATACTTTTTTTTATAAAAAGTTAGGGGGCCCCTTATATATTCTTTTATATTTATAATATAACCTATATTAAAAGGATTTTTAGCTTTATAAAATATAATTTTTAAACTAATATTAATATATTAAATCTTAATATTTATATTAACCTAGTTATTTATAACGTTCGTATTATTATCTAGCTAAATTCTATATTATTAAAAAATATTTTACTAATCCTTAAATATGCTTACGTTAGTTATAATAGTTATAATATTAAACTAGTTAAAGAGGGTACTTAGCCTAAGAGGGGTAGACTTATTAATAGGCATTTTTAAAATAGGTTTTTATTAAAATAGTATTTTAATTAGCTAATTTCTTAATTAAATATTTAATTAGTTATTTAAATAATAATTTATATATTAATAAGTTTATTTAATAAATTTATTTAATAAATTTATTTAGTTTAAATAAAGAGTAGTTTTAGGTAATATTAAAAGCGATAAGGATAAAAAGAATCTTTACGAGCTTTAGTATAATATTAGCTTATTTAGCCCTTTTTTTAAAAACCTCTACGTTATTATTAAAATTCAGAACTTCTATAGTTAAAAAAGGCTATTATTATAGCTAATTATTATAGCTAACTATTACAGCCGACTTCTATTATTAACCTTTTTAACTAGCGCTACTATATAAGTATATTACTTAGCTTATTATTAATAAATAGCTAAAGAGGGCAGCTTACTTATCTTAAATTATATAGTAGTTTTTATATTAAAATTACTATATTACGTTAAGCGCATACTTAGGGTATATTATGCGTATTATATAGTTAAAAAGTATACTATATTATATAATTATCTTAAAAACGTAATCCCGTTAAGGTCAATTTTTTATACTTATAAAACCGGAAAAAAATTATTATATATATTATATAGTTAAAAAGTATATTATATTGTATAATTTCCTTTAAAAACGTAATCCCGTTAAGGTCGATCTTTTATACTTATAAAGCTAGAAAAAAAACTACTATATAAAAATAACTCCTTAAAATAATTAACTTTAATAATACTTATAATACTAATTACTTTAAGCTCTCTCTTTTCTAAGCTACTAAGTAGACCTACCTTAGATTTATTTATAACACTACGTTTAGCTTTCTTAATAATAAAAATTAAAGGGTTTTTAGTTTCTCTTAATAAGTATTTACTAACTTATAAACTAATACTTAGTCTATTACGCTATTATTATTATTATAAATTATAATAAGTAAATAAAAGCTATACTAAACGAATAGTTCTCGGACGTTTAGTAATAATTTTATACTTATTATATTAACTTTAATATTATACTTATGGCTAAATAAAAATAAGTTAAGGATTATAATAATAATAATAATAATAATAATAAGTTTAATAATAAAAGATATTAGTTATTAATATAAACAATAGCTATACTAAATAATAAAAATAAGGCCTAAATTAATATACTTATTAATAAGCCCCCTTATATACGTATTATAAGGTCTTTATAATATAAAAGCTTATTATTTTAATTAAGACTAAGTATATTTTTAAAAAAAAAGCCTGGACTACGCTCTTTAAAAAGTTTAAAAATTAATACTTAATTCTTTAGTACCTCTACGTAATATACTTATTTTAAAAGTATAATAATATTACAGCTAGCTAGTTATAATA